AATTCGTTAATAGTAAAACATAAAACGTTTAAAACTCATTTTGACACCATTTTTGAATTTGTTACTTCGGGTCAAGATGATTGCAGCAAGCATTAGAAAGACGTTTCAGTCGGGATCCCAACTTAGCAAAGTCATACTCTGATTTTACCTAAGACTACATCAGGTTAGGGCATGCAGAGCGTATTGATTTGAATAAGGTCCCGATAGAGTCGTATTTTATACCGCATCATGCTGTAATAAAGGATGGAAATTATAAAAAGATCGTTTTCAATGCACCTTGTAAGGCAAGTTCTGACGTGTCATTAAATGATACACTACACACAGGTGGAAAACTGCAACAAGACTTATTTTCAATTTTGATTATATTTCGCCGTCATCTTCTTTTACATTGCATAAATGGGTCAGTAACTGCAACGAACATCTTAACTCTTTACCACAGCACGGTCAGACTATTTCAAATTACCAACCAGAAATGAAGACAATTAAGACGACGAGTGACGTATTCAGAATAAATAAGACTGACACTACTAAAACCCCTTGCACAATACAAAAACACGCAAAAAGATTCGTTCTATCGGCAATAGCTCAAATATATGACCCAATTAGACTTATTAGAATTAAATATTAGACACAAAACTCATGAACTGAATTTGAATGAAATATTTCAACAATATTTATATGTTTTTTTATATATTTATATTATATGCGTAATAAATAAATAAATGATCAATTGGACTAATAGCACCTGAAATAATCACAGCAAACATAGTTATGCAAAACCTGATAAATACAATGCCATGGTTTCGAGTATGCTTCGCTAAAGGTGTACGGTGCTTGTATACACATAAGAGCTACATACTACTTTGGTATAAAAACACATTCATTGTGCTCGAAGTTTAAGGTAGCTCATATGAAAAATGTAACATTCCCGCGTTTAGAGTTGTCGGCAGCGTTGCTTCTTGCTAAATTATATAAGCGTGTTCTAACAGACATTTCAGGAATCATCAGCTGAAACATTCTTGTGGAGTGACTCCAGTATCGTCTTGGCTTGGATACGGACTGATCCCTCACAATTAAGGGGGTATTCTACTGTAGAATTTTGAAAAAATCGAAAAAAATTTTTTTTTCATATTTTCAAAGTTTAGTTATTCAAAAATATGTTAATAAAAGGATTTTTCAAAATTACTATTATTTCCTGAGTTATAGCCGTTTTAGTGACGTGGCCTCGGTTCGGGTCCGACTTGTCTCAAAACTTTGAACGCGTTTTTCTCGGAACTACTTTTTTCGAGCTGGCGGTGAGGATTTCTCGAGTTCTAATGAACCGATTTACTTCAAATTTGGAGAGAATCTTCTCTATACATCGCTTTATCGTATGGACCTTGCCCAAAACTATAACTTTTCATTTAGTATTTTTAAAAAATTCGGATTTGTTAAAAAAAACATGAAAAAAAATTATTTTTTTTTCAAACTGCCGCCATTTAAACAAAACAAATTTGTTTGACTTATCCAAGGTTCATACGATAGCGGCATCTATAATAATTAAGAATCCATCTATTTTTTATGTTTCAAATCACCAGGAGGGTTGGAATCATGTACGCCAGGACACCCTCTTTTTTTGGGAACCTCCACTTTGACTGCTCATAACTTTGTGAATTTTAATTTTTTTTTAATAATAATTTTTTTATGTAATAATAAAATATCAATAAACAAATGATAAAAAAATCGATAGTAAAAATATTATTTGTTTCCTTTATACATCGCTTCAAAAAACGGGCGAAATTTATGACTCTACAGTAGAATACCCTCTTAAAAATGATCATCAGTAATGGGATCCCAGAGATTTCTGAACTCACACCATCCATATTATGGAGACATTGCATTTACCTTATTTATAATGATGAATTTATTATATTTTAATATTGCCTTCGGCTATAAGTGAATTGAAATATTTGGCAAATGATTTGAATTCATTTGTTTTTAATGTCAAACTAAGCTTCAAATATTTTCAAGGTCAAACAATAATAAGCGTTTTTTTGTAATTTTTTCCATTTATTTCTACAATCTAACTATATTTTTATGAATCTAATAATTCTAGAAAATTTCCCGAACAAACTTCAGGAAGATTTATGAAAATCCGAATTATAGTTTAGGAACATTAATCATTCATACATAATTACAGAAGAATTATATATATATATATATATATATATATATATAGTTTGTGTTTAAAAAAATAGATCAAAGTGAAAATTCAGAGTGGTTTTCAGCTCATCACGAAAATAATTTTAAAACTTTGGCCATAATCTAATCAATCCAAGGTCAACGGCCAATCCAAAAGGCAATAAAATACGGCATGAAAAATGAAAAAAGGAATAGCCAAATATCCTGCTGATGTGATCCCAGTTGGATTGTTAGTGAAGCCATTACAATCCTGGTTATGCGCTAGTATAAATTGTTTAGTTATTAAAAATAACAAACTGATACAAATTATTGCAAGTATTATATTGTAAGTATTGATATCTTTGATAAGAAGATTGGAAACTCTAATGTTGGCTATTCAAATATGGATAATGGAAATCATGTTTTAAATCTACTGTAAAACATTACTGTATCCATCAATGTATCCAACATGTGAAAAAGAAATAATTATAGTAAAACTAAAAACTTACGCCGGACCTGGGGATGATAATATAACTGCGAAAATAATTTAAGTAATATCGGATTTATAACTCCAATACTTTCAAAAATTATAAATAAATGCATCGATAAGGGTACTTTCCCAGAGTGCTTTAAAACAGCTACAATAAAACCAATCTTCAAAACAGGAGATAAACTGGATCCAAACAACTAAAGACTAACACTGTAACTAACGTCCTCTCAAACGTATATTAAAAAGTCATCAAGAAGAGAATATTTTAATTCTTGGTAGAAAATGAATCAATAGACAAATATCAATATGGCTTTTTACCAAAATCAAGTACAGAATCCGCCTTGATAGATGCTACTAACTTAATAAATGAACACTTAGAAAACAATAGACACACAATTGCAATATTTATAGACTTAAAAAAAAGCCTTCGATACTGTAGACCACCGAATTCTTTTTCAGCAACTTAGAAATATGAGCCTTGAGGGTACAATGCACGACATAGTTCAATACTTTATACTTTTTAATAATACAACATAGTTCAATTCTTATCTGAAAGAGAAGTAAGGACCAAAATAGAAAATTGCTTCAGTTATAAAAAAATTGGTCAAATGCGGAGTACCACAGGAAACAGTCCTAGGTCCACTATTATACTTAATATATATTAAAAACTTAAAAGACAAAAATTTAGAAGGTAGATACATAGTGTACGCAGATGACACCATGATTATATACGCTGATAAAGATTTGAAGAAACTAGAAAAAAAAATCAATGATGACTTAAAGAAATATATAACATGGCTGCCAGAAAATAAACACACTATAAATACAGATAAAACTAATTACATATTTTTCCAAAGTTACATAAATAAAAAAAATAGGCAATATGAAAATATTAATCAACGGTACTGAAATAAAAAAAATAGAAAAAACTAAATATTTGGGTACGATTATAAACCAGAAACTAGAATGGAGAGACCAAATTGAAAAAATTAAGCAAAAAACTGCAGCACTTTCTGGAGCCATAAGAAGAATACGACATCTTGGAATTAAGAACAAGGAACTAATATTAAAATCTCATATAATGCCGATTATGGCCTACGGCATCATGATTTGGAGTCAAACAACAAATAAAAATATAAAGACACTACAAAGAATGATAAATAAAGCAATAAAATCAACTTACAATTATTCCTACCTCATCCTGACAAAAAAACTACTACAAAAGACAAAGATCATATCACTACACAAAACAATAGAAATATAAAAATGTATACTAATATTCAAAATAAAAAATAACAAAATCAAAACTTGCACCACAATAGAGACAAACCAGGATATATACGACCATCAAATGAGACAAAACCGAAACTTTCATATGAAACATGCAAAAACTAGTAAAGGACTTGCAAGTCATCTGAGAAGTGCAAGCAGCCTTTACAATAAACTACCGGACAAACTAAAGACAATGACGGACCTAAACAATTTCACAATTGAATTGAAAAATTACATAAGAGATAAATGAAATAAATGAGATAAAATTCCTTATTTTAAATACTTTTAAATATTTCTTTTTTTCTGTTAAAATATTAATTACAATTAAGTATAAGTATGTATGTATGCATGTATGCATAGTAATAAGTAAAAATATATAGATTTCTTAATGTCTGTTACATAAAATTTAGATTTATTTTTGTTATAATTGCTGTAATCTCTCATACCAGAACAATTGTCTGACTGAGATACAGTATGTACAAATTATATCAAATAAATAAATAAATAAATATAATTAAAAAAAGCAATGTTTATTACACTCAATGCCAAGTGTTAATGCAAGTGTCTGGTATAAATTATTGTGATTTTTATGTATGGCTTAATAATAAATATTATCAGATATGTAATGCTGATGAATGGATATCGTTTGCGGCTAGCAGATATCCTGCCTCAACACATGACACTGCCATTACATATCTAATTACTAACAAATTACAACTGAACTGTAATGCTGATGACGAGACCTATTTATTGGGTAATTCATAGATATATTTAATACTGTAAATCAAGGGAAAGAAAACGTATCAATTGTACATTTACAGGAGTTTTAGGTTACCCATTAGAACATTGTCTACTCACCCCATGCAGCACACCGGTAGGGGGTGAGTTTACTGAGGAACAATACAATAAATTGCATGAAAAGGCTAGGAATGTTACTGAACAAACATTTTTAACTCCATTTAGTTGCAAAACTTATATAGGATACATATCAGTTTATAAAATGTTACTATCTTAGTTGATAATTTGAATGTTTAATTATAGTGTTCCACATTGATATGAAAAACATGAAGGTACTTACATTAGCAATCTATTGCCCAAGTTACTTCGTACCGCCATAAAATATAGAACGATTTTGTACAGTAAAAATTCACATAACCTTTCATCTCCTAATTAGTGTTTCTTTGACATCTGAAATTATAAAACATTATAATATTTGATGCATACAAATAAAAATATGAAAGTGATATGATTTTACATCACACGAAAACAAAAAGAAAACATGAAACGCTCATATAAGAAATTGTTAAAAAGTAACTAGCATGTGCATTGAAACAATATCGATAAAAAAATTTAGTGAGTGCGTACTCATTAATCTGATCAATTATTCAAATGTTCAGTTTAAACTTAAATCAATAAGCAATAAGCAAAAGGCAAGAACGTTACAAACGAATATTTCGCAAATAAAAACAAAGAGAATGCAGAACAGAAAGCTGTCAAATGTTATTTCTTCACAGATTGAATCAATAAGCGAAACTACGACACACCAAAATACTAACCGAAAGCCTGCAAATAATTTTATCAGCGATTTAGGTCATTAATCATACATTAAAACACTGAATTTAAACAGAATCAAATTGACATAATAAAAACACATGGTTGAAAATAATGCAAAGTGATTCACAACACGACATAGATTACAAAGCAAGCAAACGGAGAGCAGAGTAAGTTGTAAGGGTGCCGGCACACCTTACCATACAGTTCATTCAGCGCTCATGCGGCTCCAAACGCAAACTAATTTAATTGTCACTTAGCCAAGCGCAGACATAGATAAGTAAACATAAATAGATCGCTATCTGAGGCCATTTGACATTACCTTCATTTTAATATTTTTAGCTGATCTGAAGGAGGCAGCACTTGTTCAGTATATAAATCAACCGCTGGTATTATTCCTAGATATGGTTCGCATGCGTAATTAAAAATAAGAAAACCTAAATAATTTCTTATATTGAAAATGAGAAAAAATAACATACGAAGTACAAAATATATTTTCAAATATATCACAAACATTTTTACATAACAATTAAAATTTTTATAAATGTAATAATCAATATATACATAATAATAAGTATTATAATTTTACAATTATAAGTAACTAAAAAAAGTATTCACAATGGTATGATAAATTTACAAGAAACGATCAATATAAATTACTGAATGATCAATAATATATAACAACTAGACAGAGATTGTGTAGAAGCAGTTACAATAAAATGTTAAATTTAAAAGGAACGATCAATATGAATTACTTAATGATCAGAATATATAAAACTACACAGAAATATTGTAAAAGTTTTCATAAGCATAATGAATTTACACGAACTAACTAATATTAATTTCTTAATGACTAATAATAATATATTAAAAAGAGAAGAGAGAAGTATAGAGTCTAAGTATGTAGTATATAGAGTATATAATATAGATAATGGAATAGTATAATTAGAAGAAATGACAAATAATGAACAAATTTAAAAAGTTAAATCCTACAAACATGAAATATAAATATTGATATCAAAATTGATAGAAAACTAAATTCCAAGAATTAAAATCATTAACTTTGCATTTGATAGTTATTTTGCTTTCCAATCAATCATTAATAAAGTTACATTCTACAAAATCTTGAATTTCTTATGATTCGATTGTGTCAATAGAACAGTGCAGCAGTCCTTTCGGATGGAATGTTAAGAATATTTCTGAGCATTTTATACTCTGTTGCAATTTATACCTTAAATTATTGCATTGTTTGTCTATCCTTCTTAACGCCCTCAACATATAATGGATGTGTCATACATTTTACATGCCCTCGGCATCAAGACACTCCTATCCTCACTAGGTCACTAGATTCTGTTGCAATTTGTATTCCCAATAACATCTAATAAACATAACATGTTGTAATATAATATCAAGTCGTAATAGCAAATGATATTAAAATATTCATAATTATTATTACCTTTTCCACTGGAGTTGCAGAGTGTTCTCCTGGTCATTATAGACATGAGAACTATTCTGTGAAATATAATTGGACATTTCTAATTTGTTCACTTCACAAAGCCCGAAAAAAGTGCATTTTTATATTATTTTTTAAGTTACCACAAGTTGGTGCGTTACATTTTGCCATATTAAATTTCACATAAAGGCTTACTTGAATACAATTAATTACAGAAACAACATGCGAACCACAAACTTTAATACAAAATGGCGAATGGCAAATCTAAGCGATCAATTTTGACGTTTTACATATTTTGAAACTAGTAGCGATATCTTATTTTCGCTAAAAATAGTAGTCCTTTCCAAAACAGGGTAATATACATTTGTTCGGAGATAACCCCCATGAGCGCAGATACACAAAGCCGCCATATTGGTACCAGACAAAGAAGAACTCATGGCCGGTAATCTCCGAACAAATGTAGATTACCGTGTTTTGAAATGGATTGGTATTCAAATTGATCGAAGGATGGCGCTACCATTTCCAATTTCATTGATCTAGCAGCTAGCTTGATCTACATTGATTATCGCCATTTTCTATAACTTGTCATCGCGTATTGTAGTTGAGATCCTAGACAATGATAGAATCATGGGGAGTTATCTTCGAACAAATGCGCGTTGCACTGTTTTGGGCTTGAGTAGTGTCAATTTTTAAAAACAGATGGCTCATGTGTACTCAATTTCAACTACAAATTGTTCGTGGTTCGTGCAAGTGGCTGTCAAGTATTTGATCGCTGTACGAATAACCTAACTTTGTCAACTCGTGTTGTTTCTAATTAATTAATTGTGTTTATGTAAACAATTAAGTGAAATTTAATATGGCAAAGTGTTTTTATTGCACCCAAAAAAGTGTCAAGTGCGGTCAAATACCATTATCTTCGGAATTGTTATATGATGGGATTGAATCTCATATTGTTGATGTTGCAAAACAGTTATTCAGTATTGGTTTAAATGTTCATCAACGTAAGTTCATTGTTATATTTAATAAGATTATCTATTACATTAGCAAATATAAACACTTATAAAGAGACTCTATATCATACATAATATTTTAATGTATTTTGATGGAAGATTAGTGTTATAATAATATTCTTCAAATAAAACTTGTGCAACATCCAATATAATGTTTAAATTCAAAATATATTTGTTACCGACCTTGTGAATCAAAAATATTGCTTTTATCTTTCAATTCATAAACAATTGTATGTGCATAAAACATTATTCTGTTCATTTGTTGATCATTTATGGCAATTTCAATGATAATGTTTTCATGATAAAACATGGGTAAATGTAATGTTATAAAACACTCGTACAGAAACTGTTCAAAGGTTTTGTTAAATGCAACTTACTATTAATTCATTAGATAGCAAAATAACTATTACATGCAGAATTAATAAAGAACAATGTCTCGTAAATGAGTTTTAATCCTAGTAATTTGGATTTCTATCAATTTTGATATCAATATATATATATATATATATATATATATATATATATATATATATTATGTTTCTAGGTCTTTTTTGTTTGTGAAGTATTTGTACTTTTTAACAAATTATTTGTTTTTTTTAACCTTTTAAATTTTTGTATTATTTGTCATTCCTTCTAAATTTGTAATTTCATCGTGTGCTCCTGTGCTTATAGTTTCTACTTAGTTTTTAAGATTTTAATGAATTAATATTAGTCATTAAGTAATTAATATTAGTCAGTTATTTCTGCTTAGTTTAGTTAATTACTTCTGTGGTTTTCTCCACATAGATCTTTAGTTTTTGAAATATTATTTAAGCATAATTGTGGAATTATAATACTTATAAGTATGTATAATAATTATTATATTTTCAAGCATTCCATAACTGTAATTATAATTGTTAATATAAACATAATTTTAATTGTTCTTTAAACATATGTAATATCTTCGAAAATATATATTTTGTATTTCGTATGATTTGTTCTTATTTCCAATATTGAAAATTATTCAGGTTTTTGGGGCTGTATACGATACGCACAAATTAAGAAGTAATACCAGGGGTTAATTTAAATATTATACATGTGCTGCCATCTATTTTTAAAAATTTGTATTTCAATCGAGGTAACGTCAAATCGCCAGACATAGCGATCTATTATACTTGTTTATCTATGATTAGAATACCCCGTGTTCATATAGACGCTTCTCTCGCCCGGTTTTTTACGTTCAGAAGGAATACTTAAAGGGTCCTCCGCTCGACGTGATGGCGCTGTTTTTGGCATTCAAATTAATGGCGCAAAATTTGAAATAAAAATTAATGATTTTTAGTGCACGGGTATTTAAAACTAAATTTGGTATTACAATCCTATTATGTTTTGTAATAATACAATAATAACAAAAATATACTAGATAATATTATATTATAATAAATATACAATCAAATCGAAATACAAATCAACAAATACACTGCAATACACCGGTTTATATATAATAGATATCACATCTAATCTACTGGAATAACTTCTACTTCGAAATTTAGTGGATAATGCATATAGTGTTAGTTCATTACATCGTCTGTCATTCTTAACTCTCATTAACTAATAATCATCCCGTGCAAAATTTGTCATTCTTAAGCAATTCATTTTCTCCCAAGTATATTCAGATCCGTGTGAAGTGGTAATCCAATTTTAAACAGCTGGAACAGCTTTTTATTTGTGTATTATGTCTTTCTTGTAGAAGCGCATACTTGATTTCTTACACAACTTCCTAGGACTGACCTCTTTCCTTAAAGTGTATTATGACTAGACTAATATGTCAATGCACTACGTAGTAATGTAGTAATTATGTCCTCCATATGAGTATGAAGCTGTTCTATTCATATTGTCAAAGGGCTATGCATTTGAGAGCAATTCCTGATGAAATCTTTATTAACAAATATACAAACACAAACGAACAAGAATCGCCATTTTGTAAACTTACACAAAAGTAACACTGATCTGACGTTTCTTAGTAACCAACATAAAACATTTGAAAATACTTTTTCATCGGCTCACTAGCGCCAAATCTGCGACTACAAATGGACCCCTAAGTATTCCCTTGAACGAGGAGTTTGTTCTAAGTGAAAAGGCCCTGGTTGAGATGTGTTTTTCATGTGTTTGTTTATAACTATATGGCTGAAGAAAGTAATCGTTATCATTCACAAAATATTGATCGTTTTAAGGACAGTGCAAAATCTTTGAAATGAAAAAACGTATCTGCAGTAGAATCAAAAAAAATGTTGGGATTACTTTTGCTTATGGGCAGAGTTCGTAAGGAGAGTAGGGATGAATACTGGTCCACAGACAGAACAATTGAAACCCCAATTTTTGCCCAAGTGATGAGCAGAGACCATTTTCGCCAAATTTTTGAAAAATGCTTGGCATTTTTCTAATAATGAAAATAACACCAATGAAAGATTCGCCTTAATAAAATACGTCCGATAGTGTCTTATTTCAAAACAAAATTTGAACAAGTATACAAGCCAGAACGAGACTTGTCATTAGATGAAAGTATTATGTCGTGGAGAGGTCGCTTATTATTCATGGTGTATGATGCTTCAAAAATCAACATATATGGAATTCTAATTCGAATGGATTGTGAAGCAAAAACAGGATATAGACAGAACAATTGAAACCCCAATTTTTGCCCAAGAGAT